GGATGCGGGTGCGCCTAGCTGCCGACTTCTACAGACCACGCACACTCGACGTCGCGACATCATTAGTTAGGTCCTTTGGTCGCTACACTCTCAAGGTTGTCTTGACTGACCTCTTCAATGGTCTCGGCGCCTCATTGGCAGATCTCTTTCAAATCCGACGATATTTGGCCAATCACCTGCTCACTTTGGGAATTGCCATCTTTGAAGCTCTCGATATTATCACTGGCATGTCCTTCAACACCCCAGTGAAGGAGACTTCCATGCCATTCACTGCCGAATCCTCCCACGCGTTGGAAAAGTTCTAGAATGGCATCCTCGACTTCGTCCATGACCGCGCTACGGACCCCCACCTTTGGAGCATCATAGCTGCCCCTCCCATTCAGTCTGTAGCTGGAGGCTACAGTCATATTTCGGCCACGTACGGAGCCAAGACCATGCACTGCCGATGTTCTTTCCTGCAATCTGATGCTCCTGCACTCCTCCATGCCAAACGTCAACCTGTCCACGAAAATGTGCTCCTAGGGAAATGCCACTGTGTGTCTACGGAATGGGCTGGTACAACCACAGAAACGACTTCCAACGCACTGACCTCGACGGTGCGACACAGGAGAAACGCGTCTCCATACCAAAAACTGTCCCTCCGCCAACCACAACTCAGACACCCGCGGCGAGCAGCACCAGCAAACGCCAATGCATTGTGCCACCAAAACCTGTCCCGTGGCGTCGGTTGCACCACGGACCTCCTTCCTCCCCAGGTACCCTGACCACCCCAATGAAAGTCTCCTCGATTCGGTGCTGACTTCACCATTGTCCCCCAAATCCTCGATTCCCCTGATCCTCCCAGCTCCATCTCGACCGAGGCCTACGTTGGGGGCACCAAAGTCGTGGACAGCAAGGTCGTCCGCATGGAAATGCCCCCCGACGCCCTTCTCGAGGAACTTGCTGCAATGGACCGCGAGTCCCAACAGGTTCAGGCGTCCTTTGACGCCAACTGCAACCCCGTCCCAAGTGAATGCACGCTTAACCTTGCCAAGTATATCGCCGACGGCCTGGCCGACGGGATCCAACACGACTTTGTCACCTACCCTGCTGAATTCGACCGCCAGCTCCACGACCTGGCGAACTCCCAACCTGAACTCCTCCTCCATCTCACTCGCATCCGCCTTATCAGCCGGTGGTTGCGTGCGACGTCGGGCTCTACTACCCCTTTCTACAACCTCTATCGCAACACCTTCGGGCATAAATTGTCCCTCGTCTGTCACAGCCATGACCATTCTCACCGACCACTCTCACACCCTCCAAGACGACGAACGCATGGTGCAGGCCGTCGACGCCGAAGCTCACCTTGCACTCGGCCAGATCGTTTTGGCCACCTCACCCCATTGTACTACAGCAGCGATGCGAAACTGCGTGCCACCACGAGCAGTCCGGTTTTCTCCCTACCAACACGTGGGCCGGGCCGACTCCTTGCCTCCTCCACCCTCAAACAAATCCTCTTCAACTCCACACTCGGTGCTACTCTTAGGGACCCATTGAATAAACACTTTGTCCGAAGTACAGTTTCTGCCCAATACATGGCCCGCTTGGCCAACGGGCGTGCCTCCGACGGCATCATGGAGTCGGACCCCACCACGTTCCTCCTCGAAAGCTGACTGCGGGACATGGCTTCACTGGAAACCCTCGACTTGTGCCCATGCAGTCCATATACAGCCGTCCAACCAGGTCGTTTACAATCCTGAGAGGTTCACTCGCTGACCCACAACAGCCTCGAAGACAGCTGGACCCACGCCATGCACGGCTAATCCTGTCGCCCCCACCCCCTCGGAGGTGCGGCAAGCATCTCTATTGCGACCTGCAACCTCAACGGCTTCAAAGACGACACCCATGCAAACACTTCGGCAAGAAACCAAGTTTCAAAACCAAGACCACCTCCGCACAACCCGCCGACATATCACCAACCATGTTGGCTACAAGCAGTACCTGTTCTTCACCAACGACGAGCGTTCCTCTGCCCACGGCCCTCGCTACCACCGTAGTCTCGGCGTAGCGACGATTTTTCACTCATCTATGCCCGGTTACCTGTCTGGTCCAAACGCGTCCCGAACTGATACCTGGTGGTTCGCACCCCCTGGGATGACAACCCCGTCTACTTCCACAAAGTATACGCCACGTCGAAGGCGAGCTCCGCGCAGTTTTCTTTGCGAACCTTCCTCGTGACTTCGAACCAGGGAATATCCATATTACTTCAACGTCCCCGTGAACGTGGCCTTCGACACCTCGACATTTCACCAAGGCAACAACGCAGGAAAGTCCGAGCGCTGCATATGCTCGCCGCCCGTGGCATTATCGATGCTTGGCGCCACCAACACCCATCCACCAAGTCCTGTCTGGACCCCGGCCTCTCCCTCCACCTACCGTATTTGCTTGTGTCCTGCACCATGAAAAATGATGCGTGTTTGATCAGATTTTTAGTGCAGAAGAACGACAAAATGAAATTTGTGACATCATCAGCCGGACGATCGAAATCTGCTGTGATAGGATAAAATGAATTGAATTCATTTGAAAAACAAACTTCCCGCCTCCTTTCCAGCGCCACGTTTCACAGTCACTTTTCAACGTGGCACGCATTCGCCGCGCACGACGCACCCTAACTGTGAAGAAGAAACTGGAGATTGTCAAGGAGTACCTCCGCGATGGCACAAGTGTTTACTTTCTTGCAAAGAAGCACGAAGTCCAAGGGAATCAAATTCTGCTTTGGATCGCAGCCCAAGGCAAGCTGAAGGAGGCCATCGCGAGGTCACCGTATCTTGCCACAATCCACAGAGGCAAAGACGTGACAAGACCTGATGTTGAGGACCAAGTTCTTGAGTACTATGAGCACCTACGAGATTACGACATTGCCATAAGTACAAAGATGCTTATACTCAAAGCCCGCAACATCGACCCAACATTTGATGGCGGCGAAACGAAGGCTCTTACCTCGTGGGTCTACCAATTCCTCCACCGACACTCGCTGAGCATTCGCCGTCCAACCTGCGAGGGGCAAAAAATGTCGAGCACGCTCGAAGAGGCGCGCGCCGACTTCATTGCTTCGGTCTGCGAGCGATTTGAGCTTTACGGGACGTTGGAAGGCCTCGACCCAGCCTGCATTGTGAACATGGATGAGACCACCGTGTACTTCGAGCCCGAAGTGCACACAACGATTGCGCGAAAGGGGTCCAAGAGCGTAAATGTGCGGAAGTCCTCGTCGACGAACCCACGGGTATCAGTGTGTCTTTCTGTCACGGCCACTGGTGAGAAACTGCCCCCATTTGTTGTGTTCAAAGGCGTACCTGGAGCGCGTATCGAGTCGAGACTGCCATCTATCTTACCGAGGGTATACTTGGTACGTGCCTGAAGTCAGCTTGGATGGACGAAACCTCGACCGCGCTTTGGTTCAAGAATGTATGGTGCAAGTTTGCTGAGAACAAACCGTTGTCGTTGGTACTCTTGGACGACTACAAGTGCCACAAACAAGCAAAGTTTGCAGACTTGGTAGCAGGAACTGGAGCGGAACTCGAAATCATTCAAGGTAATTCTCCTATGCATGTGCGTTATGCTCTAACAAGATAATTTAGGAGGATTTACCTGCGTGCTGCAGCCACTTGACAAGCCCTTCAAAGATCGCATGCATCATTTGTACATGATGTGGGTATCCGAAAATATGCCTGGGCACTCTGTTGTACCAACGCCGTCGAGGGAACTTGTGTTGCAATGGGTCTCTGAGGCCTGGAACAATATTTCCCGCGACATTATCATGAATGCTTGGCGTAAATGTGGCTATGTAAAGTAAGACAATAATACAAGTTTCGTGTTCACTTTAGTAATTTGCATAAAATTCTTCGATATGTTGCGTAAGGATAGCATTCACGATACCCATGTTCCTTGTTGACCAATCGCGTTTTGCTTTACTTGAAGAGATTCGCAAATCTTCAACTACAATCGCAGTCTTGTTGTCGAAATTCTCCTTTTGATTAAGAAGCCGACGTGGTAGGTACCCCACGTCGCAACGCCGTTCAGCCCCGCACAGTCGGTAGGCCTTGACAACCTCCTCGACGGTGTTGGCTTGGTCACCTTGGTCACTTCCCACACCAGGAGGAGGCTCCGAGTACACAACCTC